CAAACTACGCTAGTATTTAGACATTATAAAACTTCCTTCTTTCGTCAGAGAAATGGCTAAGCATGTTTGAACTTATGAGCTGTAATGAAAGACAAAATAACTGGGCCATCCAAAAAGAAGGCTTCTTCTATTGATGTACGACCAAGTGGCCGAAGACCGAGTAACGTCGTTAATCCCTTTCTTTTACCGGAATTTGACGAGGAAAATTATGACCCCAGAACCGAATCAGCGCCGAGCGTCAATGAAGAAACCAAATCAGCCCCAACAATCTGGCAGAAAGGAGGGGGTGTGAGTTTTAAAAAGGTCGCGAAGGCTATAACTCAACAGAGAAAATGGTCAAATGTGCTCAAGGTAATGTTTTAATGTAAGTCCGATTAAAAGAGGCTGGCTGCCATGTTCTGTATGTTTAATCTACCTAATATGTCTGTAACACTTGCTTCATGTCAAAGGAAGTGCGTCAATCAGATGACCACACCCGAGCAAGAGGATTTGTTGCTAAATCTGAAGATGGAAAAGGAAGACTTAGCTTCAATGTTAACGGTAAATATCTCTGATGACGGAACAGCTTTAAAGAACTCCTTACTAAGCGACTGTAACAGGTTCGTATATCGTGACAACGTAAATGCTTATCGTTTAAGGAATACCGAAAAAAAATTAGTTCTTCCACAACCTCGAACTGATTATCTTAAGAGAAGTTTTTCGTACAGCGGAGCTCAGTTGTGGAACAACTTACCTATAGACCCAAGACAAGCATCTTCACTGACCGATTTCAAATCTAAATTAAGTCGCTACTTTGAAGTAAATTTTAAGTAAATTTTTAGACACGGCCTCCATAAAAAGCAGTTGTTTTTTTTTTTAATTTTTATTGTAAGTAGGCAGATAGGTAGATAGTCCAGTAACTTTGTTGACTGATGGAATAAAGTTATCTTATCTTATCTTATCTAACATCAGCAATGGGAGGAAGGGACAAGGGGGAGGAAGAGGCGGAGGGGTAGGGGTAGGGGTAAGGGAAGCCTGAGATTAGGCCGTCTAATATTCCAATGGCGGCTTGATCCTATTCAACTGGTTTCGATTATTCAACTGAAATAATTCGACTGAGTGACACACAAACTGAAGATTTTAAAAGGATTAGAAAAAAAGCCAACAGTCAAATGAGAACAGTAAAGAAATTCAGCGCGATATTTCAGCAGTATTAACTTTTGCTTAACGATACCAAAGTTAGTAACGACGACACACTGGTAACTCGGAAGAGTTCATCATGGGTCAATAAATTATTGACAACTGAGAAAGGGACTATAATTATAACTCATAACTGAGAAATCTTAAAACCCGCAGCCAGACTTATTGCCGAGGACAAAATCCCAGCCAAATACGTTTTCCGATTGAAGGAGAACGTTTCACGTGTCGTTGGTCAAGACCTCACTTTCGACTCGCACGTGATCAGGTCGTACACCTTGAAACCGCGGGAAATTTGTGTGCCAGCCGACGTCAAGCAAATGATTTTTTTTCGCAGTTTTTTTTCATATTTTTGAGTTGAGAGGCTTAACATAACACTTAATGACTGGCCCCACAGGGAACTGTGGGTTTTGTTTCCCCTCGACCTCAATGGAACAAAACAAAACTCAGTGTTTCCCGAATGCTTATTGATGTATCAGGTATACATAGATGTGCATATGGACTAAATCTCAGTTGAACAGCGAGGCGCCAGGGGTGGTCTTAGCTGTTCTGTTGTTCGGCGTTTGCAGTGATTTGTTTTGATATACTTCTATTCAATATTCATCGAGTCGGGCAAAGAAAAGAATTTGAGAGCATTCAACTCATAATCAAATTAATAATCAATGCAATGCTTGATTTCTCGTGAGACTTGATGATAAAACTCTGTAAATCTATGATTAACAGCCTCGATCTACAACCAGTATAGCGGTATACAGACTCGGTCCGCAGCCAAAATGCAAGAAAGCATTACTCTTTTAGGCCTACATGGACAGCCCAAATCATTATTCCCTATCTTTCCAAGCATAACAAGTTCATTTGACCTGCCAGCAGGCTAAACATATCACTGTTAGTATGTATTTCTTTTTCCAGGTCTCCGCGCTAAATCCTATTGATTCTCTAAGCTCGCTCACACTTGCCATGGAGCAGATCGTAAATAACAGATTGTAGCGACTTCACAATCGCCAAGAATATTGACAATTTGAAAAACTTCCTCACTACGCGCGTTATTACTGGAAGTTATAAAAGACGATTCAACCTTACTTCAAACATATTCTTGAGAACGGAGGCAATTCAAATGTTACCTATTACTAGTTAGTATTGAACACAGAGCAATTTTTCAAAGTAATCACTTTGGCTAATCACATAGGAAACAGACAATCTATTCAACCAATCAAAACTCGAAGCAATTTCATGTAGCTGACGTGAAGCGCAGAAAAACCAGCGCGAGGGCGTCACGATTGGTTTTTCTGATTGGTTGAGAAGGTGGCGCCAGGATTTGAAGCCAATTGCTTAACTTAGTATAAATGCAAAACCAAAGCAAGCGCGAAGGAAACTGTCAAAAGAAAACTTCTCCAACTGTTGAGCAATGTATTAAGCAGGTAATCCGTTTGAAGTTTTTTTGTTGAAATTAAATCCACCTCTAATAAACCTTTTCTTAGATAAGATAACCTTTTCTTGATAGAAAAACAACAACTTTGACTAACTTTTCTGGTGTTTTTCTCATTTTCTACAAGCCTTCAAGTCCCATGTCCAATCTTGTGGATTTCTGTCACCAAGTGTGAAGAAAACATTAAGAACTCTTTCCTGGAACAGAACTGCAGAGGAAATTGAAGTAATTCTTCAAGTTGTGAAGAAGTTGAAATGTTTTGCTCGTTATCCTATGTACGTCAAACGAGAACTGGCCAAAGTGTTATATTACGACATGTTTGACAAAGGCAGAGTGGTTATAAAACAGGGTGAGTAAATACAGACAACCAACTGCTCATAGAAAGCACTGTAGCATATCAAAGGGTTAAGAATTTCAAGTTCAATATTCACTGGCTCACTATGGATGTTTATTGAGAAATACTTCATGATTTTTAATTCAGTTTTGCGTTTTTTGTTCTTCAGGACATGTTGGCATTTCGTTTTACTTTATCGTGTCAGGTTCAGTGATAGTAGAAAGAATGGAAGAAGATAAAAATACTGGAGAACAACATAAACAGGTTTATAAAGCTAATAAGAAAACAACCGTAAGAAAATACGCGCGCTCATTGGTTTAAAATCGTGTTTCTATTAAACAATTAGATTATGAGCTCGAGATTTCTATCGCACGATAGTTGACGAGGGCGCAGCCCGAGTCAACTATCATACGACAGAAATCGAGAGCGAATAATCTAATTGTTTTAGTATAAATCTACTAGTCGTTCAAAA